AGAGAGGATATATATTCAACTGGTCCAAACACTATCACAATTTTACTTACTGATATACACTATTATATTATTGAATGAGTTATGCTTTAATTTCTAAAATTTTCATCATTACATGACGCATTCTCTATAAAAAATTTGTATGACATTTTTCTTCTCAAATACTAAACTTCATTTGGTCAATTTGTAAAACTCCAAAATTTAATTCTTTTTGGTTCTCAAAAAGCTAGCCGTCTAGAATTTGGACCATAACGTATCCAGAAATAGGTAATGTACGGAGAAGATTGTAAGTTTACATATGAAAATAAATTTGAACTATTGATGTGAAATTCTAAATAATTTTTAATTTTTATATCTAAAATCTTGCATTACTATTGTTTCTAGATTCATTAGGGTCATTTTGCCTAAGTCCGAAAACTATTGGATAAAATTCCATATGTATTTGAAGAAAATTTGAAAATTCAACGATATCAATTGACACCTACCAAACAATGAATAATACCGCCCCGATTAATTATTGGCATGGAATAATTTTATGTAACCCTTATTTATTTATCTTGAATTTATCTCAATGAGAATTGGTATGGTTATTGCAACAAGGATTAATTTGGCCCACTAAATTAATTTGGTCCAATCGAAATGCTCAAAAATTAATAAGTCTGGAGAAATTATTACCAAGTGGCCTCAAATGAATTCTATTGAATGGACCTGCAAGAAAGTCAATAAATTGATCCGAAGAAGACCAATCAAGCTTATATCTCTGGAGAAAAGTCCTGCAAGTCCATCCAATGAGGCCCAGATTTATACGGGCGTCTAAGAAGATTGATCGTTACTTTCAGAAAGATGAAACCCTCGGAGGAGATCCATTCTCTGAGATATTTGCTTTAGTTTCGAAAGGATTTGAAACCAACAAACTTTGAGACCAATTTGAACTTGGACTCGAAAAGGTTTGAATCCACGAACCTAGAGATCCGAAGCACTTGGCTTCAAACGGATTCCAATGCAATCTAGAAAATCACTCCGTTAATGAGTTCTAGAATACTTGCAAGCTCGGAACTTTCCAGAATCTCTACACACTACAACCAATGGGCGTAACGGAGTCTGGACAAATGACCTGATCCCGAGGACAGTAAATGGAAATAATTCACTCTTCGTTTAAACTAACACTATACACGGCTCAAGTGGCAACGATTTAGGGGACCTGAGACTCGATGATATTTGCGGCAGGCATTCTATTGAACTACTTCTGACCCTTCTGCAAAAGGGCAATCCTCTAGAACTACCGCATGACCCTTTGAGATGATTGGGGATCATTGGTTTGGTAATGCTAAGAAGAGTTTGCTAAGAGGTTGATCTCCTCTTTAGGATTTTCTCATCCTTGGAGAGGTTACTCCTCGAACAAAGTGGTTAGAAAGAAATATTTTTCATGTGCCTTACGCAATGAGCTCCATCCTAATCATGAGGTAACCTATAAATAACATCCACCCATAACTTTGTTGGTTGATTTTGGAGGAACAATTTTTTGAAGAAAACTAATTTCCCTTCTCCATTATCTACCTTGAGAGTGAAAGTGAGAGATTTATGGAGAACCTTGCCATTATTTACTCTCTAACAACTTTGTCTTCTTCTTCACCCAATCTATTATCTCATATATCTATTTACTATTGTGTTTTTGGTCGTAATCATTGAAGAATCTAAGTCTCTCATCAATTTTTAAAAAGATTCAAAGTTTCTGATAACATTTGAATTTTCTGACAGATAGTTGAAATTCCAGTGACCTTCAAATTTTCCGATGAGGTTCCCAGATCCCTCATATAAAGTTGTGATTGAATTTAATGTGATATGAGATTCATGTGTAAAAATAAATTGCATCATAAGATAATAATTCTAAGAGGGTGAAAATTTATAAATTTACTCTATTATCATAACGCACAAGATAATATTTTAAAGATAATTAATTGTTAATTTTAAAAATTTAGAAAATGCAAATTACTCATCATTTAAGGGATTTAACTATAATTTTAAAATTTATTTTGACATCTCCTAAATAAATCATTTAATTAAATAATAATACTTATTTAAATGGGAGATTTACCAATAAATCCCAAAATGTAAACTTATGAACCAATTAGTCCCATTTTTATTCTAGTAAACCGTTTAGTCCATTTTAATTGTGAGGACGTAACTACCCTCATCTAACCGTTGCTCACATATACACACACAGGTACACACACAGATACACCCACACACACACACAGAGATACACACACAGATACATACACACATACACAGATACACACACACAGATACACACACAGATACACACACACACAGAGATACCACACACAGATACATACATACACACACACACAGATACACACACAGATACACACACACACACAGAGATACACACACAGATACATACACACACACAGATACACACACACAGACACATACACACACACAGATACACACACACAGATACACACACAGATACACACACACCACAGAGATACACACAACAAGATACACACACACACACCACAGATACACACACAGATGCACACACAACACAGAGATACACACATACATTACGAGGGGCATACGCCGTGACCCTGGGTGGCTAACAACATCCTCCCCTTCTACCCCACCGGTCCAGGCCTGAGGAGGAGGAGGAAGATGAGTCCTCTTCCGGATCTTCATCACACATCAGGGCCATGATCAATCATCATCAACATTGGTTCCATCATCAACATCAGCGATATCAACCTATGTCTCAACATCGTCCAACATCAGCGCAGATCACACCAAAACGATCCATCTCAACATCAGTGGTAGACATCAATCAACAATGGCGGATGGGTAGGATTGCAATTTGCAATGGGCGGATGGGTCCTTCTCGCGACGTCTTCTTTCGCGCCATCTGTGTATAATCAGATCAGCGCTGCATCTATCCAGAATCTGTTGGATGCTCGCGATGAATTCGATCGGGTTTTCAGAAAACATGGATGCCACCGGCGTTGATGTCAGATTCCGGCGAACTCTTTTGGGGTTTTTCGGCTGTCGGAATCCTGAGTTTTGAAAAATGGAGATTGCATCGCCGACGGAGAAGACATTGAAGGAGGAGAAGAGAAATGAAATAATGTTAATCAGTAATAATGAAAATAAATGTTAATCAATGAATAATGTTAAACAACTCC